TATAGTTGGGTTTAATAGCAAGAACACCAGATTAAGCTTCAGGTGATGAAGGGCTTAATTTTAACAAAGTAGTTTTGTTAAGGTACTTTTCGTCTCTGCACACAATTCAGCTCACCATAGTTATGTTTCCAAGGAGCCTTTCCTTCCTTCATTCATTCACCAAACAATCATAAAACGCTGAGAACTGAGGCCATACTGGACTCTAGGACAGGAAGCGTGTAAGAGGTAATCACTCCCATTCAGAAATGTAGGGCTTCCTAGCAGAAAAAAAAAAAGACAATTCTAGGTGGTGCTGAGGGTGATCATGGAAGTGTGAGGAATGTTCTGTGGCACAGGCCAAAGACTAAAACTAGACACATGCCTATCACCGTGCACTAAACTAAAGTTGAAAAGGATCAAAGATCTAAATGTTAAAACAGAAATACTAAACCTACTGCAAGAGAAAGTAGGTAGAAATCTTGAAGACATAGTGGGTAGGCAGAGAGTTCATGAACAAAAACCAAACTGCATAGGAAATACTTCCAAGAATCAACAACTGGGATCTTATTAAAAAGTTTTTGCATGTCAAAAGAAATCACCAACAGAGTGAAAAGAAAACACATGAATTGAAAAAAATTTTAGCCAACGATCCCTCAGACAAAGGATTTCTAACTAGAACATATAAAGAATTTTAAAAATCAGGCACCTCAAATTCAAAGATCCAATCCAAAAATGGGCATCTGAGATAAACATGCACTTCTCAGATGAAGAAATACAAATGGCAAATAAATACATGAAGACATGTTCAGCGTCACTGGTTATTCGAGAAATGCAAATTAAAACAACTTTGAGATTCCACCCTATTCCAGAAAGGATGGCTGCCATCAAGAAATCAACCGATACCAAATTTTGGCAGGGCTGTGGGGAAAAATAAACACTTCTTCACTGTTGGTGGGAGTACAGACTGGTGTAACCACTGTGGAAATCAGTGTGGAGATTCCTCAAAAAACTAGGATTAGTGGCCCCATTTAGTTATTCCCTTTCTGAGTATTTTTCCCTGAAGAACTGAAAACATCATATCTCGGTGATATATGTGCATCCATGTTTACAGCAGCACAATTTGTAATAGCTAAATCTTGGAAACAACCCAAATGCCATCAACTGAGGAATAGATAAAAAGGATGTGGCATTTTTATACAATGGGGTACTGCTCAGTTATAAAGAAGGATAAACTTGAGGATTTTGAAGTAAATGGATGCAACTGGAGGCCATACTCATAAGTGAAACAAATCAGACTTACATGGGTAAACACTGTATTGTCTTCCTAATGTAAGAACAATTTCGCATGCCTATAACTAGTAATCTGAGCAACTATTTTGAGGACCCCGGCGCTGTGTGTGCAGGAACCTGACAGGTGCACCGGTGTGCACAGGCCTGGCGAGTGGGTAAGGGCGGAGGGCTCAGGGGGAGTGGTGGGGATGGAGTCACAGAGCGGACCAGGGCCGCTGGGGGGAGCCTGGAATCCTGTGACTATCCTGCCTCAGCAGCAGTGGGGACCCTGGAGAAAGGTTTAAGAATGAGGTGGCAGAATTAAATCAACCTTTAACAGGCGTTCAGCACAAGCCGTGGGGCTCCATGTCCATAATTCCAGCCCTCTGGGAGGCTGAGGCAGAAGGATGACAAGTTGAGCCCAGCCTGGGCAACTTAGTGAGAACTTGTTTCAAAATAAAGTAAAATTTAAAAAGGGGCTAGGGACGTAGCTCAGTGTGAAGGCCTTGGGCACAAGCCTCAGTAACACACACACACACACACACACACACACATAAAGTATGTTTTTCAGTCTAAAACCCAATCGAATTCATTGTAGGGCTCTTTAAAAATAAAATAAAATAAAGTAAAGCCTATTGCTTTAGTATCCGACCGAGCCCTAGAAAGGTTTCTTCAAACTTGTTCCCGTTTTTTTTTCTTCTATTTTTCCTGTTGTATCTGACTTGCTAAATCAGAGAAAAACCTTACGGTACAACCAGTAACTTGCAGCTGGATAAAAAGCTGAAATGCCACTGCAGTTGACCAAATCCTTTGTTTGACTAAAGTACAACAGACTAATTGAAAGCTGCAATGTTTCGGGGTTTGGGTTTTAGAAATAAAGCCTTCCAAGTGGGGGAAGGGAGGGTCTCATCCGTTTCATGTGGATTCCAAGCTCCCGCCCCTTATTCGGAGGCAGAAAAAAAAAAAAAAAAAAAGGAAATAATGCAAACTGCATACTAACCAGTAATTACAAATTCCTTTTGTTACTGTATCTGAGAAAGACCATTGTATCAAAGAGCAACAATGCCTCTTCAGAAAGCAAAGGAACTCAGTTACTCTAGCACAAAGTCTGCTTATCCCTAAATCTTAGAATAATTCAAACAAGTCCTGTGGCAAATATTTTCATGTAAAAGACAGTGAGTCTGGCAAACCCTGAGCTGCTCTTTCTTGATGGTAGACAACTAGTAATGCTGGTTCTTTGATCAGCAGAGTCTGTAGGTGTTGAGACCTGTGCCAATCCCCGAAGAAAGATGCTGTCAAGATGAAGCCAGCCCGTTGTGATTAGCCCAGCCCGTCTCTTTGGAGTTGATTGTGGATTCTCTTTCCTTTATCTCTCTACTACCCGAAGAACAACTTCAGCAATTCTTTTACCTCAGTATCAAATATCTTTCAAAAGCCTCACCTCATTATGCTTGTCCGGAGTGTCCTAGTTACAGTCATTAGTGTTACGGGCTCTTTGAAAATGCACGGCTGTGTTGTGCACTGAAAAATGTGAACCACCTGCGTCTAAACAGAGAGGTAACCGCAGCCAGAATAACCAACAGAAGGCACTAATGAAGCTGATCGTATCGAGGCAGTCTCGCTCTTCCAAAGCCACTCACAGTCGGTTTCAGTGTCAAGGATTGCAGCATCCTGAGCACCAGGGCCCTAATTATAATTACAGGTGTGGCACAGAAGGCAGAGGCAGACAGCTCCCTAGGACTGGCTGGATCCTCTGTCTTCACTGCAGAACAAAGAGCAGCAGCAGAAAGAGTTACCAGGTAAACAGATTGAGCAACCACTATCATACAGCAGGGCTCATCATTCCTCTGCCAATCTGTGTGCTCCTGGGTTTCTGCCACTGCCCACCTGTCCCTGTCTCTGTGTCCTCTCCTGACCTCCAGCTGGTGGGGAGGCACGGACAGGGTCACAGGAATGAAGCCTTATCCCCCCTGATTTTTCACCAGCTTTTTTCACCCCAGCTGTTTTGCAACTAACCCAAGAAGACAACCCAGGAGGTTTCCTTGAGACAGTGCTTAGCCTCAGGTTCTTCTCAGCCAGGAGAACAGTAAACCACTCTGTTTTAAGGGCTCAGATCCTAAAGCCACAGGCATGGGCTTTGCTTTTCTTTAGAAAGTTCTCTTTGGATCCAACTGCAAATTCAGTTGAGTTTGAGGCTACTTAGAGCAACGTGCTTTATTTCTTGACATCCAAATTGTTATAAAAGCAATTCCTAAGGCTGGGAGCCAGTTCGCTGCTGGCAAAATGACTCAAAAGAGGGCTGCAACTATGTAAATGATCAATAAGGAGAGAGAAATGACAAAACAAAATACGTTCTGTTCCTTGTTTGCCTACTCAGGCAGGGCAATTGCACCCCCTTTGTCTATCTTCTGTGTTCTTCACAGCTGCTTTTCCCAAGTGGGCTGTGGTACCGGACAGTGTCCAGAGCCCCACAGTGGTTGGTGCCTTTGTGCAAACCCTTCCACTAAGAGCCTGGAACAGAAGGCTTTCCAGCACACGAGCTTTTACCTAGGTGTTTATAAGATGAGCAGAGGAGTTGGGGGGAGGGAGGGAGACTGTAAAGACAACTTTTGAAGAATGACAAAGTAAGATCCTTCTATCTTTCCTTAACTATTTACTTTGTTGTAGATGAACCAGTTTTGAATCCAGATTCCTTCAAATCAGTAATTTGGATTTGGAGCCAAAAGGGTGGGTGGCGTGGCACCCCCTGTAATCCTGGCACTTTGGGAGGCTGAAGCAGGAGGATGGCAAATTTGAACCCAGGCTGGACAACTTAGTAACTTAGTGAGACCCTGTGTCAAATGAAAAATTAAAACACTGGGGATGTAGCTCAGTTTGATGGTCCTGGGTTTAATCCTCAGGATGGCAAAAAGCAAAAACAAAACAAAAGAGAACAAAACTGACTTTGGATGTGGAACCCCTAACTGCAGAGTGACAGCTGATAGGTTACGTTTGTTAAAACAATGAAGAGATTTAAAAAAATAATGGGCACCTCTTAGAAACTGGGGGCAGGGTGGGTAGGATCACGAAAATACACAGACATGCAATAGCTTTATTTTAGGTTTTTTAATGCATGGACACTTGCATGTCCTCTGCTACTCTGCAGATTCTGGTTTAGCACCTGGCAACTTTGAGGGCAGAGGGAAAAGTTCAATGTGCCTGATCCAAAGAGGACTGAGCGAGCAGGGCCTGGCCAGTGTAAGCGAAAGAATCCCAGCATTATCCCCGCCAGGAAGTGGGACAGAGACAAATGGCAAGGGCGAGCCCAGCAAAAGCTAGGACAGATTGGAGTTATTGACAGACAAGCTCCTTTCAGTAATGACCTCTGCTGTCCCCCAGGACCAGCTGCCAGCCTTTCTGGTGACAGTTTGCTTCCTGCCATAAAAGGTGACCAAGACATAGGGCAAGGGCTGGAAATCCACACAAAGCCAGGCCTGACACTTGTGTCAGTGTCACGTGGGCCTGTGGGCCTGGGCCTTAGAACAACATGTGTGTCGTGTCTCCTAGGAATGTCAAAATTCGGGGATAGGGAGGGTGATAGTTCCCAGGCTCCTTAGGAGGAGATGCTTGAAACAGGCCTCTTTGAAAGCTTTCTCTTGCTCAGTTGTTTTTTGGCTCGTGGTTGCTGTAAAAAGGAGGTGCTTGTAGAGTTGCCTGCAAGCACACCAACCCGAGAAGAAGGCAGGAGCCCTGCCAAGTGCCCCGTGGCTCACCTTCTTCGGATGCAGCATGGGACATCAGTAGAGGGTCTCCATTCAGAGGAGGCATCTGATGGTTCATCAAAGTATTCTAGAAGAAATTCAGGCCTGGGTGAGATATTCACCTAGGAAACACTGCTTGTAAAGGAACGAACACTTGCTAGCCAGAAGTGCTTCTGAGCACTTAGAACAACGCCCCACAGAAAGCATCATAAAAGTGTCAGGGTGGCCCTCATTCAATGTCAGTACAAAAGGGCCACAGCGAAGGTGATTTCACATGCTGTTTCTTTTCAAGTGCTTTATTGACTGTGGTCCGTACAAGCTTTATGGGGGCGAGAGTCATGCTGGTTTTCCAGATATGTGTGCTCTCACCAGCGTGGGCTAGAGGACAGCCCCTTGAACATTTTCACCCCACCCCTGGTTTTCATTGATCTCCAGATCACAGTAAGACACAGTCAGGATAGTCTGTCATGGGCTGAGAGAGAAAAGAGGTAATATACACCCACGCCGAAGCTACTCTCAAGTAATGGGATTCCCGCAGGCTAAGACTTAGTCTGCACCTCTGGGAAGGATTCATTTCTTGTCATTTTAATCTTATTTTTCCTTTTGGCTTTTTGTACTTCCTTTTCCCTGGCCTCAGTGCCCCAGGACTTCACATCCAAGAGGAGAAGTCTACAAAACACAGTACTTCCCGACCAGTTCTGTTATCTCTTATCTGCAGTGACTAACATGGCACGATAAACACCCAATGAAATCCCTTCCCTGCTGCCTCGGTTACTGCTAAGGGTTCGTGTTTAATTGTTCGTGCCCAGTGTTTAATTTTCTCAGTTCTGCACAGTAACTCTATGGCTGTGAGATTATTATTCTATGGCAGAGAGGAGGGAACGGAGGCAAGAGGAGCTGGAAAGTTAAGGGGGTGGGGTGCAAGTGTTAATCCAGCCAGATCCACTTATTTGGGTGTGATAGTGTGGAACAAATTTTCCTCTTTCAAAGAATTTTGCAGGCTAACAGTTTTGTTAGCTTTTAACTTCAACTTCATACTGTCTCTCTTCTGTCCCTCCCCAATAAAAAGGTTTGGATTTATCAGGAAGTGATATTTTAAACCTAGTTAGTTGGACTTTTGCTAGACATTTTAGGAATACTCTGATGCAACTTTTGAGTTGACATAAACAATCTGTCAGTATAGCATTTGTGCACTTATATTGTCTGGAGCCTATGTCTACCACCTACGAGAGCAATAGAAGCTTAAACCTGAAGAGACATCCACCGGACCATCTGGGGGTACAGTGGCAGGATTGAAGGTGCTCTATGCTGCTTTCTGTATTCAACTAATTCATTTCATTTGATGTTTTCCAGGAAACCAGGCCCATCCAGAAAGAGGAGGCTTTCTGCTTGTGAAAGATAGACCATGACAGCTTGGCACTGGTCACCTAATTGATCTGTAAGCTGGCTAACAAAGAGAAGATAGGAATATCTTTGTTTCAGGGGTGAGATAATCAAGGACTGTTAAACAACTTGTCTTTGCTTCTAAGAGAAGGCAAAACCCAGAAGGTCATTATCCATACTCTACAACTTCCCTTCTATCAATGGTTTCTAAGCAACTGCATAAAAATACCCTTTTATGCTTCTGAAATCACTCGGTTGTCTTTCAGATATAGTGCAGTTTTTGTGTTGCAAACCCAAGTCTCTCAGTTTTAAACAGACAATTAGGTGATTGTTGCAGGCATCCCATTTCTCTAAGTCATTTGTAGACTTCCTTGTGCTAAAAAAGTGCTTTATACAAATATTAAATAATCGGGGCGTTGAGAACAGCCACTGATGGTCTGGGTTTTTATCCTTGTGGTCCCTTCCCCTTTTCAGTGTGTACCGAAGAGTATTTCTCAAATACTACAGAAGTTCTTTAAAAGTAATCAATGACATTCACTGTTGGGATTGTCTCGCTGGTCTTTAATGACAGGCCCGGGTGGCTGAGGCCTGCAGGCTTTCATTGTTACCTAGCCCCACAGGATCTGTCATGTTTTATTGGCTTCTCTGGTTAGTCACTGTATGGTTTGGCACCTGTGAAATTTCACATTTTTGGGAACAATAGTGTGAGCAAAGGTGAGGCTTTTCTTTCTGCTACCTGTTATTCAGTTTGCTCTGCGTGTTCCAAAAACAACAACCCCTTTATATTCGATTCGTCATATGGTCTCTCTGGTAATGTCCAGGGGCTTTATACTCCTGGCTTATATTTGAGCAGTTTGGAAGAGAAGGAACAGGATATTCCATCAGAGTGGACACAGAAAGTCAGGATGACCTGGTAACAGTATCACTAGCTCTGTGTGTGTGTGTGTGTGTGTGTGTGTGTGTGTGTGTGTGTGTGTGAGTGACCTTGTACATGTGACACGGCCTAGTCATTCTTTAGCATGTAGGTTTGCAGGCCCTAAAAGATAGGCAGAGGCAAAGCATTTCACACACCATAAGCCCTTAATAAATTTTAGCAATCCAAACTTAGTTTTTTTCAACATGAAAATTTTTTCCTAGCTGAAAACCTTGTTTTCCCCCTGTCATGCCTGGGAATGGAAGAGAACTTCTCAGAACATGGGCTTTTGTATCCTAGTTCTTGCTGACTTTAGGCAAGATCATTTCAAGGTCAATTTTAAAATGTGAAAATGTTTTAACTGAGTATCTACTAATCAGTCATACTATCAATGTATTAGTAGACTGTGGAAACACAGAAAAATGTCCCTGTGTTCTAAAACATTATCATTTTATTGCTGGGAAGGATAGTTTATTATTCTAGATCATATTTAAAATTTAAGTTTAAATTTTTGAATCTTAGGTTCAAATGGTCAGCATTGGACTATTTCAGGACTTCCTGGACAAGGCATAGTTGAGGTCCGAGCAATCCAGTGCTCCTGCTGCTTATTTTGTCAGCAGAATATAGTTCTGCACTTAGTCATTTCTTCTTAATCATCTATTATTGATTCATGTTTTCCTGGGCTACGAACCAAAGTGAATGTGATGGGCTTAGAAGCACAGCACCATGGTGTGGTAGTGGATGTGCCCCGAGTTCCATGCTAGGCACTGGGGAATAAAAAAAGGTTTCTTGTGAAACTAATGTTTGATTTTCTGTGGTTTTTAACAAGGCAGCTCCAATCTAAACCCAAAAAACATGTTAAGTTCCTAGGAATGAGCTTTAGAAAACTTTTACCAATACCGCACATTTCATGGGCTAATCTGATCCTTCTCTGCTATGTCAGCTACAAAACTGGCAGCTCAGAGACCTGAGACCGGTTGGCACCATCCATGCCAACCTGGCCATACTTCTCAAATCTAGAAAGCAACTCAGATGTTTCCCAGTGGTTGAGGGTTCTGAGCACAGATTGGATTTTGCTGGTTTCTACATAAATCACAGCTCCCTAGGAAGTATTGTTAATTTCAAGCTGTATTCAGGTGGGTAGCACTAGTTGAACAGACTGCAGGATGCAGTTCTTTATTACAACTGGTTTGAGGAGAGTGTGGAGAGGGTAGCTGATGTGGAAATGCTCATACATAAAACCTTGCAGTGAGTCTGCACTCAGCCTAAATTCATCTTTGACTGTCTGAGTTTACTAATCCTATCCTTAAAAAACACATCTACAAATCACCAGGAAAATATATTTCTAGTCTTACACATTCTTCTCAGTTTGCTAATTGCATCCTAATTCAACCCTGAATTTGTCCTGAGTTCACTTCTGTACCTACATCTGAACGTTCCTGGGATTTAAAAAGTTTATTGATCCACTGTCTTCTCCTGAAAAAAATTCAAGGCAGCTTAGAAAACTATCTCCAGTAAAGTGGGCTGTCTTTTGTATTTTTGACTTCAAAACTCACGTGCCAAATGCAAGCAATCCCTAGGGTTTCCCTCTAAATAATTATTCATAACATGTGAAATAGCCAGAAGTAACAGATAAGCAACCAAAAATAAGTTTTACTTTCTGCATTGCTTTTGCCCTGGTAGTTCAATAAGAGAATTAATCGAGAGGAATCTGCCACCTGAAACTGGGCAGAGCCACTGTGCCAGCCACAGACAGCATGATACACCCAGAAATGTTGCCAGAGGACTCTTGATTTCACCATCTTTGGGTGTTCTCAGAGGAGAGCTGACACTCAGAGGTGTGTAGCTAAACAGTAATTGTTGGGTGTCACCTTCTGCTGGGAAATGAGATAATTAAGTAATTGCTTTCATGCACTACTTACAGACACGATGGCTTTTCTCTGGGAAATAATAACCCTTAAACTGCACTGAGCCCATACATTATGACATTTGACTTTTTAGGGTTCTGTGATTGAGTATTTCAGACTACAATTTGGCTTTATTTCAAATGAACACAGCCCAACCTGGACCCCTTCGGTAAGTGATTATCCAGTCTGAGTTTTTGAGGACTTTGCCTCCTCCGCTCCTATTTCCTTCCCCCATGATGTTGCTTATTGATGGTGCCAGGAGAAATGTTGGCTGAAAAACTCAGGAAAAGCATAATCAGTCCAAATTGAAGGTTGCTAGGCATTCAGATGACAGATTCGGTGAGCAAGGAATTACGATTTTAAATGAATTGTAAGAAAGCATCGGGGCTTTTAATCCATAAAATCTTGGATCTTATTTATCAAAGAAAATGTATCTTTGTTCCTCTCAACTGTGAACGTGTCGGTAAATCTCATCTTTTACAGCCCATAAGCAAATATCCCCTTTCCACCTGATTTCCCTACAGTGCTGTGAGCGAGCGTTTTACATGTCTTGAAAGCAGATTCTCTATTTGCCTCCTTCCTATTTCCACTTTTACTCTCTCATCTGACTCTCTCTTCCATTCCCCTGATACCGGAGCTCTACCCAGATCACCAAGGCCTTAGCAGTTGGCAAAGCGAGTGAATGCCTTCAGCCCTTCTCTTAGGGGCCTGTGCTGTGTTTCATCCTATGGATCACTGTTTATTTTCCGAAGCTCTCTCTTCTCTACTATTCTGTGAGCTACCCTCCCCCACCTCCATCTGTACCCCTCTAACCGTCCTCTTCCTGTAACCCCCTCTTCCACCTATGATGTAAATACTGCATACCTTTGGGCCACGTCCTCCATATGCTGCTCTTCTCAAGGCCGATGCTTTGGCAGAGTAAAAACTGCTATGGTCTGAATACCTGTGTTTCTCTAAACTCATGTGTTCAAACCTGGTCCCCGGTGTGGAGGGATGGCAAGGCGAGGCCTTTACGGGTGATTAGCTCAAGTATCCCCCTGAACGGATGCTTGCCCTTGTAAGAGAGGCCCAGAGAGCTACTGTAACCCTTTCACCATGAGAGGACTCAGGTAGAAACCGTTAGTAACAGGCCTTCCCCAGATCTGCTGGCACTTTGATTTTGGACTTCCAAGCCTCCAGAACTATGAGAAAAAAAGCCATCGCTTTATGATATTTCTGTTATAACAGCCCAAGTGGCTTAAGGCAAGATCCCCTTTTAATAAAGTAATACTCATTTGTTAATCTTTCTCTGTCTCTCCCTCTCTCTTCCCCTCCCTGCCCTCCATCCCGTTTCCTCTCTTCCACACCTCCCCACGCCCTCTCCTCGTCTATATCTGTGTCTGGTCTCAACTCTCGTTTATGTTTTCGTCCTTTGTCCCTCCAGCCTTTCCTTCCTAAGGTATCCCCTTGCCCCATGTCTCTGTAGGACGCCCCATGTAAAATGCACAGGTCACCCATGATGCTTCCTTGTAGGAATCTTTTCCATATCTCATCATTTATATTACCCTACTGTATTTCATCATCTTTTCTGCAGGACTGCAGGTATCAAATCCAGGCCTCTCACATACTGGCAGGTGCTCTCTACTGAGCTACATCCAGAGCCCTTTAAGATTCTTACTATGAAAATAACCTGCCCCACACACTGCATCACACTTTGCCCTGCTCTTGGTTGTACTCTAAGCTTCTGTGTTGACGACTCTTCTTCCTCGCACATGCTGTTTCCCTTGTGGAAGGCTCTCTCCATGTGGGCTCATATTCTTGGCAAGGCCTTTCCCCTCTTCTTATCAGTGGATAATTCTTGTTCAACCCATAAGACTCAAAGCTGGCATTATACCTGCCAGAGATTTGTCAAAACTTCCCAAGCAAGATTATTCTTCCTTAGTCACTCTATGTTAACAAGTGTTATAGTGCCAAACAGCATTAAAATAATATCCCATGTTTAATTTATCTGTCTCCACCACTAAAGACTCTGAAATCAAACTGTTCATTATTAGTGCATTCCATGTGGCTCCCATAGTCTCATGCACAAGACAGCCCCTCAGCAATGTGTGTTAACTGTAAAATGATCAACTGTTGGTACATTGGTTATTGATGTATGCCTTACCCAAGACTCTTGTTTGTTGACTTATTATTGCAAGATCTTTCAGTTCTTTTTTTTATTTTATGAAAAACATAAAACAGAATTTCATAACAAGATAATAGAATAACAATAGTTAATACACTGAATGTTGTAATGGTCTTTCAGTTCTTTGTGATTTTTTTTCTCAAGTGCTACTTAAGGTTGCGTAACAACTAACTTTCTTTTAAAGAAACTTTGTACTACTAAATACTGTAAGTTTTAACCCTTTCTTCTCAGATAGCTAAGTCTGTCAGGGGGTCCTGGTAACATTTTTATGTACTCTGCCAACACCTCAGACACCCTGGAACGGAGGAAAGTAATCTCAACACACTCCTCTGACTCACGGACATGCCAAGCCCCTCCGGGATGATCAGCTGCCAAGCACCAAAGCACTGTAACTTGTCATCCCCAGTGAATGAGAGGAAGAGGTGGTGTGGAAAGAACATCCTGTTTTGCAAAACTTCAGTAACTAAATTGTTGTCATCTCACATTATTTTTTTCCTCATTAGTACATCTGTTTAATCTTGTGCTGATTAACTTAGGGCAGGAAAAGTCAGCTGGTTCAAAGGAATTGAGACATAGGAAAAGAGAGAATGTTTAAGTGAATTCCTTATTTCACAGTCCTCCTGGGAATAGCACCATAGAACACAGTCCTGCGACTCACAAACACTGTCTCCAGGATGGTCCTCAACATCTGCAGATGTCACGATGCCAGTTCTGGTGGCTTTGCATCTCAGAATCAAGGTGTCACCAGACACAATTTATCTATGTTTTAGAAAGGCATGTAACTGTAGCACATCAACCAGTACAGACACAATTTCTCTTTAACACTGGAATTTTATATGTAGAGTGTTCTCCTAGCTGCTTGAGAGTCTGCTATGTATCAAGCATGTGTGACTTACTTCCCATATATTCTCTCACTTAATCTGCACAACAGAATTCTGAAATAAGATCCATTTTCCCATTTTTAATAAGTGGAAACCAAGAATCAGAGGGGATGAGTAATTTGCATGAGGCTACACATTTTGTAAGTACAAAAAACATGGTTAAAAATATAAGCCAACTTTTGTTTAGATCCTCTAAAATATTTTCTTCTTTTTACTAAAATGTAGTTTGTAACTCTTATTTTTTTAGATTATTTTTGCCTTAATAAACTATACATTGAAAATATTGATTGTGTTGTTTTACATCCTTAAAAGAAGTCTCCTATCAGAGTCTCAAACATAAGAATTGGACAAATGTTAGAAATAACAACTGTTACTATTTGTCATTTATTTTGAGTTGCAAATAGGTATAAGTTTTTTTCTTCAGGACAAAAGATGAATGAATTTTCTTGGCTCTCCTGGGTTCAGTAACCTGTTTGGGTTTCTCAGTCTCTGTGTTTATGACAACGGCTCCTGGAGTTGATCGTTTTTATCTTTATGGCTGTTCTGTTGATATTGATTTTGACCTAGTAAAGGAAATGATGGGAGGAATACACATTTTACATTGCTTGTATCCTCCGAAGCATTATTTTATCAAGCTCATGAGAAAAGTTACCTAAACAAAAGATGACATCAAGCTTTAAGACCATTTGAAAATTCTATACGATTTTAAATGAACCTTCCTTAGACAACTCAGAGGAAGCAAATCTTGGATTAGGAGACAAATAATTGGTATATAGGAAGTCCAACCTTATATTTCCAAACCCTTCAAATTTTCCTAATGAAGGAGAGGCACATACTCTTGGTGTGAAGTTGAACATTTTTTTTTCCTTTTTACAAGATTAAGAATAGATGTGATTTTACATTGTTTGAGAAAATAATTTGGATTGTATTTATTTTTAAATATTCAGCTAAGTTTTTCTTTGCATTTCATCACAGGTATAGATTTTTTTAAAATGTTAGACTAAAATGTGATTAAATTGCTTTCCTGGGAAAATCTTTTTCCACTTATTCTTCACAGAGAGGACGATGTCTAAAATATATGAAGAACTCAAAAAATTTAGACCCTCCTGAAACAAAAGACCCAGTTGAAAAATGGAAACTCCAATGAATAGACATTTCTGAGAAGAAGAAATACAAATGACCAATAACTACATGGAAAGATGTTCAGTGTCTCTGGCCACTAGAGAAAGGTAAAATTAAAATTAAATTAAGATCCTATCTAACTCCAGGAATAATTACTATCATCAAGAAATCAAACAATAACAAATGCTGGCAAGGCTATGGGGGAAAAAGGATCCCTTATACACTGTTGGTGGGAGTATAAACTAAGTACAACCACTCTGAAAATCAGTATAGAGGTTCCACAAAAAGCCTAATACTAGAAATACTCTTTGGCCCAGCTATTTCCCTTCTATGTATATTCCCCTAAGAATTATTACAGTGATGCATGCATACCATGTTTATAGCAGCATAATTCATAACAGCGAAATGTTGGAAAAGACCTATGTTCCCACCAACAGCTCAATGGATAAAGAAAGTGTGGCATTCATATAATAGAGTATTTCCTGTAATAAAGACAGGTAAACTGGAGTCATCTGTGGGAAAAAGGATGCATTTTGTGATGGCCTGAATGTTGAGATAAATCAGATGAACAAGTTAAAATATCACTTAGAGTCTCCTATTGCAGAAACCCAACACATAAAGACTAAAATAAAAATATATAACCAGAAGTAGGGTAAGAGATGTTTTGTAAATGGGGAGAGGACTGAGAGATGGAGAGGTTGGGGAGGAGAAGGGAATAATGAAGAATTAAGATGAGTCCTGTACCTGCACCAGGACTGTGATCACTGTGTTCTACAAACACGCACTAGCAAAAGATGAAATTGGGAGAAAAAAATGTGGTTATGCTTCCCTAATGTTATCACCTTTTAAGAAACTGTGTTAAAGAAGATAAAAAATGAGTTTATGCCTTTTCCTTTCAAAGGAAAAATCCAATGTTTTTCATTTTGGGGCTATCCCATAGAGCCATAATTTCCCAGGAGTATGTCAAGATTATATCTGAAATTATAAAAAAAAAAATCAACATCACAGTTAGATGTAGTCAGCTAGGCAAATGAAATTTTATGGCATAACCAGTAACAACTTGCATCATTCCAATGCAACTTTTGTGTTCACTGAAACCTAGCTGTGCTGTGTAGAAAGACAAAGGAGGCAGTGAGAGCTAAGCTGGGTTTCAAACCCATAAAGCTGGCTCTCAGCAGCATGAGTCACTCGGAGATAAAGGCATCCAGTGATCCCCTTGCATCCATTTGGTGCCAGCCTGGAAAAGATTTGGGAAATTAGCAGCGTCCGCACTTTTTTTTTTGATGGTGTGCAAAAGAAAGGCTAATTCATGAAAAGGAGAAACCCTTTCATTTGCCATTGGATTTCCTCTTAGCTCAAACTCAAATAGCATTCCTAGCAACAAAGCAGCTCGCTCAGGGCCTTGGGAGGGTACCACCGGGCTCCGAGGCGAGGCTACCATCTTGTATATAATAACTAAAGAATGACAAAGGAAATTTTGAATCTATAATAAATGGTCTCATTTGACAGACTAATCCTTCTTACTTAAAAAAGAAAAGGAGGAGAACACCAGTAAGAGTTAATTAATTTCCTAAGCAGCTGTGCTTTGTAACCAAGCTGACAGTTTCCATTTTTGTCCTGTGAATGGTTTCTTGGCCTGCCTAGGGTGTATGATTCAGGTACGTGCAGACTCTAGTGCAGCATTAGGAAGATGAAGTATGTTTACAATTACAAAGTACATTTTCCACTATATCTTTTTCTTTGAAGATGTTGACAGGCTGGTTGAATCTGAATATGAGAATAATTAAGCAATTGGCCCGGACACAGTTAACCACAAATGAATCATCAGGACCCTAGGTAGCCTTTGCATCCCTCTCCCCTGATGGTGCTGCCCGTTCTGCTTGTAGGAAAGGGGTCAGGGCTGGTGAAAAGGACAATTCCTGGTTCACCCAGGCCCTTCCACAGTCGCTAGGCCAGTGGAGAAATGATGTAAAATGTATGCCGAGAACTTCCCAGACACCGAGCAGGAAGTAGCCTCTTAATACCAAGAAATTATTAACCTTGGACTGGGAAAGAGCAGGAGTTAACCTGACTTGCTGTGTCCTCAGGGCCGGTCTTTGTTGGATACGTCTATGGGAGCTGCCACTGCCTCTCGTCCTTTGTCCAGTCCTCTCCTTATTCAGAAAGCACCAGCCTAGGCTCCATGACTGATCTTGTCCTCCAAAGTTGCTTCCTGCCTGAAACGTGAGTATGTTTCCTGTGTCCTTGTGAGCAGCTCGTTGCTCTGCCTTCTGGTTGCCAAACTTCACAACCTGGGCAGCTGTTTTCATTTTTCTGCAGTGTCCTCTGTCCACACACTCATTTCCAGGGAGTATGGATTCAATATTGGCCTTGGTTTTGCTTCCCATCTAAAGTTAGACCCCTGCCCTCCCCCTCACTGGGACAGTCTCTGACTTACCGGTTAGAAGGAAGCTCATTTTGCAAACTGGTTTCTGCCAGCTTGCTCATATTGTTCTTAGTTTAATAATAAACTCTCTTAGTTGCAGCTCTTAGTATAATTTGTAAATTACTTCCCAGAGCCGCCCTTACTAAATGTCTGTGACCTTATTGTCAAGAAAGGTTTGACAAGCAGAAGCTGCTGCCTGGGGGCTGGAATGTCCCACTTCCTGTTCTTTCTCTCCAAGCCTAAGCATTCTTCTGTCCAAACAAAAACTGAACTCCCTGACCATGTGACCCAGAGGGAGCTTACAGCGAAACTCTTGGAAGTTGAAAAACTTTACACATTACCTCCTGGTTCCACTCCATGTACTTACTCTGCCTAACACCACACAGAGGGCCTTTTAAAAAGAACCAAGATAAACAAATGGATGCCTCAAGCTGTGGACTAAGAAAAACAAGCAAATAGCAGCCACATAGAACATCAGATTAATTGCTGCCGAGCTCTGACAAAGTGGTAAGGACCTAGGACAATGGACTAGTGCTGTCAAAGTCAGTGACCCTTCAGCCTCATCGGTGCCACTCAATCACGGCAGAGACTTTAGTGTAAAGGAAATCAGTGCTTGTACCCCAGCCAACGGTGGTTATAACAGAAGAGGTTGAAAATCTCAGGTCTTTTCTAAAAAACATCATTATTACCACGCAGTTCTTGTGCTGTAAAAGCCCAGGAATTATCTTTATGTTTTCCTGGTTGCCATGGTTCCAGTTTTTCCATCAATGATTTACTAAGATATAACATAGGCCCTATCAGAAGGGGCACAGAGCCAGACAGTAAGCCGAAGGCCTGTTTTCTTTTCTATAGACGCTATAGAAAATAAGTCACAATATCAATGGAGGCAGGAAATCACTAGCCTGTCACTTAGGTGTCTTCCTTTAAAACAACATGTGTAAAGAGAAAAATCCCTCACTTTTCAAAGAGAAGTGTTCCCCAGGAGAGGGAAGAAGTCAGGAGAGATGGTGACCATGGATGGGGCTATGAGACGCAGTAAGGACCTGGCTAGTGGCCATGGTAAGCAATGAGAAAGCTGACCAGCACAGCCATCAGTGCTGGGCACTTGCCACCGCGGCATGAAAGCTCATGAGGGCACAGGGGGTGGGCTTGCCTTTCCCCAGGGGTCTCCATGGCAGGCCTTTGCTCAGGCCCCTGCAGCAGCCATTGGAATAGAGGTTCTTGCTTGTTCTATGTTTAGCTATAACCTTTAGAGATTCGTGGCTCGGATAGTGCTTCCCCATTCCCTGTCTCCCTTGTTGAGCTCCCCAAAGCCCAGCACGTAGCAGACAACTCAGAGCTGGTGAGCAGCAAAGCAAAGCTCAGCAGGACACTGCTAGGAAGCCTTGCTCTGCCCTAATGACCACCTGGGAGGCCTCGGTACTCAAGAGAGCTGGAACTTACAAGGCCCCGCTGCTCTGCCAGATAAACCAACAATATTTCCCCACTTGGTATTGCAGACAGGGAAGCACCTTGCCCTGAATAAGATGCTACCTTGATCTCGTGTTTGTGATAGCATTTGAGCGCTGGTCTCAGATCATGCTCACAACCTTGCAGGGGCAGATTCATAAGCCTCTAGTGTCACTCTCTGTCATCAGGGACTTGACAGACACCTGACCAGGGAGTGTGCCCTGCTCCTGACTTGACACACCGCATGCTGCTTTAAGGAACCCCAGCACACTAAATTCCCAACTGCATGATCAGGAAGAAGGACTTCTCCTGCAGGTGGCCATGTGGAGCTGGTGCACATTCAGTGTATTAGTTTTACATGACACTGATTAACCACGTGGGTTATCAGAATAGGGAACTTTCAGTGCTAAACCTGAAAAACTTGGCAGACCAACAGGTAGGGGTCAGCCTGATATACACTAAGTTACAAAGGAGAAGCATTTTACTCTCTGTTTTTTGTTTTTGTTTTTTGTCTTTTTCCTTTTAATCGGTACTGGGGACTGAACTCACGACTGTCTGCTTGCAAGGCAGGTGCATATGCCGCTGAGCTAAATCCCCAGCCCCTACTCTCTGTTTATGCAATGAGACTTTTAAGTTCAATTCTGCTAATCTGCAACTTGATTCAAATAGAACCCAAAAACATATACTTGACAAACTGTTATAATAAACATCTAGGTAGTACACAATCATTTAAAGTTTTCTCTAAGCATGTTGATACAGATCTGCCAGCATAACACTGTTTTTATGCTGTACTTTAAATTGAGATCTAAAGCCTTCTTCAGCTGGAGACTGCTATTAGAACACTCACTGATTATAACTAGGATTTACGCAGTCCTATGCAACTTGGAAAAACATATATCCACTTTATTATAGGATTTTTACACTAACCCTGGAAATATCATTTTCATTCATATTTTGTGCATGTGGAAAGTGAGTGGCAGAAAAATTAACCAGTAAAAGCTCCTAAGTGACAATTTAGGATTTTGAATGCAGATCTTGATTCCAAATCTGTTCTTTAAATTCTGATGCAATATACCAGTCAGAGGAAGGGCACTGTATAAAAAATCCTGGCATAAATTGCAAAGAGCTTGACCTGCTCAAAGAATAAACAATGGGGTAAAAACCTATTGAGAAATGAAGCCAGAGAGTTCTGTGGAGCCGAGAAAGCAGCATGCCCTAAGCCTTGTTAAAGAGAGACCTCGATGAGAATAGAATGCCACTGAAATTGGTGTATAGAATGATCAAACTTGCATTTAGAAAAATTCATGCTATTGTTTGGAAGATTCAGCTGTGGATATCAGTTAGGAAGTCCCTGGGCTGGCTCAAGTAGACGAAGATGACAGGTAGACTAAGGTTGTGGCAGTGAAAGTGGAAGGAAGTGGATGAATTTGAGAGCTAAGGAGAGGGGAGCTCCAGTGGAATTGATCGACTGTCGGGAGCAAGGGAGCAGATGCAAAGGATGAGTTTCCACAGATTCGGTGCCGGCAGTGCCCTCGACGCAGTCAGAGTTTCCAGTCCTCTCAAGACCCCACAACCCATGAGTAACTGCATCAGTGAGCTACAAAGCCAGCCCACTTTTGCTGACATTCACAGGAGTGAATGGAAAAATAGTTCCCTGCTATTGTAGATCTAACTCTGAATATGTTTTTGAGGCAGTCAGCTGAAGCCAAGTATGTGAAACCAGTTAAAATCTGAAACCTAGTAGACCTAGCCCTATGTCCTATGAATACTTGTGTGTGTGTGTGTGATCAGAATTTTACAATCCTTCTGGATACCAAACAGTAAACAATTAGATTTTTGTTTTGGTTACTTTTCTGTCATTGTTGAGACAAAATACTTGACATCCACAATGAAGGAAGGTTTATTTAGCTCACTGTTTGTGGAGGTTTCAGTCCATGATCAGCTGGCTCCAAGGCAGGGTGGCCTGGCACTGGGGCAACACTTCAAGGCAGCAGCCAGCAAAAACAAACAAACAAACAAAAAACCCCAGCCAGAACAAAAAGGCCAAGAGCAAGCCTCTTTTCTTCCTTTATACTGTATACAGGCCAGGTGTAGCACTCACAAAATCTCTGTGCCTATCTCTTACACAGGATCAGGATATTTACAAAGTAAAGATCTTGGTTTCCTGCTGAGTCTCTCAGTTAAACTTCTCAAGTTGACACAATGTATCAACCATAACAGATTTGGTTCAAAAAGAAAAATAAACACTGGAACCCTACTATGGGAAGAGTTTTATCGTCTCCCTATCCTTTCACCCAGAACACTTTTTTTTTTCTTGGCCATTGGAAGTAAATAATCAATCAATACATTTCTATCTATAGCTTTTCAGTTGTGAAATATGTTTCTTTCCATTTCAACTTTAGAAACTGAAGAATTAAGTGACTCCTAAAGATTCACATCCACTTAGACCATTAATTATGACCTTACTACTTGGAAGCAGAGTCTTTGCAGATGGAGCCAGTCAAGAACGTTGGCGATGAAATCATCTTGGATTCAGCGTGGGCCCCAAATCCAATAACTGATGGCTTTGTTTTTTATTTTTTTAAATTTTATTTTAAAGAGAATAAAACCAAGCAAAATGAAACAGAACAAAGCCAATCAAAACAAAACAATGAGAGCCTGTATACAGACAATGGCTACCACCTTCCCTTTTTAGACATTTCCTTCCCTTTCACCTTCACAATATCTATTGTACATTTTGGATCCTTTTTGTTAGGGGAACAGCACAACGTTCACCCATGTGAGTCTGAACCATTTCACTCATGAGCACCATCTCAAATGAAGACGAGTAACGGATGCAGATGCGCACATGAACGGCCTTGTGAAGACGAGGTGGGGATTAGAATCAGGCAGGCAGGGGCTTGCTGAGCAACCCCGGGGCCACCTCCTGGCTCTGGAAGAGGCCAGAAAGGATTCTTCCCCACGGCCTCAAAATGGAGCAGGCCCTCGCTGGCATGCTCACCAAAGTCTTCTTTCCTCCAGACCTCTGAGAGGTTATTGTTTCAAGCCACTGAGTTTGTGGTAGTTGGTAATGGCAGCCCTAGGAAAGTAACTCACTCACTAAATACATGTTAAACAAACGGTTTGCTGTTGTCTGCCATTCGGTTCAGCCCTGATCCCTGGGTTCTGGCAAGAACACCAGGGAATATGTAACACATCTTTCAGTGGGGAACACGGGCCAAATGGATATTAGGTGGGAGACTGAGTTCACACTTGAGACTGACAGGGGGAGAGTAGAATAAGAGAAGTGTGTGTGTCTTTGTGTTTGTATTTGTGTACACAGGACTTAGGCATGTTCACATACTCTTGA